TGAAAACAAACAAGTTGCTTGACCACAGATAGTACATGATTGAGAGACCCTTGTTCATTAATATATCTCATATCTATTTCCTATCTATGACTCTTAAAGAACATGAAAACAAACAAGTTGCTTGACCACAGATAGTACATGATTGAGAGACCCTTGTTCATTAATATATCTCATATCTATTTCCTATCTATGACTCTTAAAGAACATGAAGACAAACAAGTTGCTTGACCACAGATAGTACATGATAGAGAGACCCTTGTTCATTAATATATCTCATATCTATTTCCTATCTATGACTCTTAAAGAACATGAAGACAAACTCTGTGGTCAAGCAACTTGAGTACATGATAGAGAGATCCTTGTTCAGAGCGTTTAGATAAATTGGAAGTATCATTCCGAAATACCAGCATTGTATCTGTTAGGTAGATTTATGAAGAAGTTTCAAATATATTTTTCAGATGGATTACATCCGGGAGAAAGGGTATGGTGGCGGTATGATCTGGGCCATTGATATGGATGATTTCCAGGGAATTTGTGGAAAGAAGAATGTCCTTCTGAAGATGATGAATGACCGGTTGGATGGTTATGTTGTTCCAACTCCTGATCCTAAGGCCACAACAACAAGTAGTTCTGGCCCATCCTCGTCACCAAGACCAACTCCACCACCAGGTGTCGTGGACTGTAACAATCCTGATTGGCGATACTTCCCGCATGAGACAGACTGCAGAAAGTATTATTGGTGTGTCCACGATGAACCAGTGTTGAAGGAATGCCAACCTGATACAGTGTGGGATACGTCTTTAAATATCTGCACATGGCCACACATTGCGAATCGCCCAGAGTGCAGAAATTAAAACCACAAGATGCACAGTTGCATCTCCATATGGTCATCGATTTTATTTGTCATGGTATCTTTCTAATGTGATTAAAGAATGTATAATAATGTAACTGGAAATCATGTAGTTTTGTACTTTCATACAAGGCCTATTTTAACTAATACATATTTTTGTAGTTAATTTCATTTCGGTGTTGTGCCAATTGTATACATGAATTTCTTACGACGTTTGTAATAATTAAGATGGAGACTCTGAGTTTAATTCAAAATTTGTAAGCAATGTTTTTATTTTTTATTGTAGCCTTGATCATTGGCCATATTCAATTGGACATTATACTTGTTATTAGCGGCATTAAAATTACTTATGTTTTTCGTTAGCAGGAGTGATTTTGAATAATTCTATAAATAAAGAAATATTCCAGAATGTCTTCTACTTGATAAAAGGGAAGGTGCAGGCTTCATTAATAGCTGTATACTAATTTTGCATTTCTAGAACTAAGAAGCTATAATGAGACAGAATTAACACGTTAATAAAGAAATATTATTTTTTCATCTGATTATGAGTTGCTGTTTCTGCGCTATTATACAAACAATGAATCTTCAAAGAAATTAAGAAATAGTACTTTATTTCATACCACACATTATTATTGTTGTTTAATTATCAAAGACTAACTTGGGACAATTTTTAAGTGGTATAATTTCTTATATTAATAACACAAAACCATAATGCAAACATTTTTGTCGTCAAACTTTTTTCTCGAACTTTTTTAGGTATAAGATAAGTCGATTACAAAAACTTTCACTTCACACAAAAATCCAACACCCTATTAGCTGAGCGCTTTCAAAAGGTGAGTCTTTCTTCATCAGAGACAAACTGGAAAGGCCCTGATGAAGAAAGGTCCACCTTTCGAAAGCACTTCGTTTTAGGATTTTGTATCTCTGAGTTAGATGAATCATTTGTTTTCCTAACCTCGTGAATAAAACCTCGTATTAGAAACGATCTTTGACTGCTTGGTCAAAATGTGACAAAACGACATTTAACTCGTGTGTAATTTCTTTTAAAATTTAACATTACACTAAATACAACTTATATGGGCTTTCTCGACTTATTTATGTCTAAAATACGCATGTGCAGTTTGTTTCTGAACACAATTTCAGACGTATCTGTACAATCAGCTAAGTTTGCCTTCATTACAACTTTATATTTACTTTGCAATAATTTAGCTTCGGTTCGCTTCATAGACTGCTATGAACACCTTTTAGCTACTTTTGTCTTTTAACGGGTTTTTATTCTTCATTTTTGTGAGTTTCTTTGTTTCAACTCGTAAAAATGTGTCATACACTGAACACTCATATTTGTTTCATACTCTGTGAACTATTAT